CGAAAACCGGAAGGTCTTTGTACCAAAAAAAAAAGATAATGCACACAAAGAAATTTTTAAATGAATGGCAAGTGAACAGTCCCGATTCATGCACGACAAAAGAATAGATACTGTGCGGAGATTTTTTTATACTAAAATAATCTCCTAATGTTTGAGTTGTTCTATTAAATAAAATAAAATATGGAATATAAAGATCCATTTTTTACGTGGCAGCCCGTCGGCCACGAGTCCAAGTGTCATATTCTTGTCCTTCATAGATCTCTATCTCTACTCGTATATCTCTGTTTCTTTCTCCTCTCTCTCACAGGGTTTGTGTTTGTTACATGTAACTAATTTTATATATTTTCAATTTTAATATTGGCAAGAAAGGGAGAAAGAGCTAAGATTGAAGAAAGGTATGTGGTGCGCTTAATTTTTGTTCACTCTGTTAATGGTATTTTATTTTTTTTTTTAATTTTTTTTTTTTTGAGCAATTGATGTTAGATTGATGAATTTTTTGTTTTCATGGAGTTGTAAGAATGAATGAAGAGCATCAGAAATAAATAAAGTTATCTTGATGAACTTAATGCAATACACTAAAAAGTAAGCGAGGAGGAAAAACTATAAGTTTCACTTACTGGAAGTATATTGTTTACCAAATAACTTTATTCACAACTAATTTACACTCAAATAACTCAATTTTAACTCAAACTCTACTATTATTTATATTATTCATATAATTAAATAATATTAACAAATCATTCTTACGCATCACATCTTTTTATATATAATTGTGGTTGAGCCTAAGTGACAACTCGTACATTTTGGAATCCTATGTGGCAAAAACAGCATGCTTCATAGCTAGCTTATATAACTAATATTTTTTATAAATTATTAATTAGGCTTGGATTGCATAAAAGATTTATATTATTCAATTAAATTTGTGGTTGATCACTTCCTTCTTTTATACTTGATATATCAAAATTAATTATCTTTTAACAATCTTCATTTCGAAATCCATATTACATATATATAATACAAACTGTGATATATATCCTTACAAATAAATTTTAATTTTATTTATCAAACTAAATTAAAAAAAAAAAAACTAGAAATTATCTTATAAAGAAATAGAAATTAATTTATTTAACATATCATAAATATTTTTTTTTTTTTTTCTGAAACGATAGAAATATTATAAATAAGGGCACAAATGTGCAAATACAAACAACAACTGACGAACACAGCCACCAGCCGAATAAAAATGAGAGGACAGGACGAAGCCCGCCTAAAGACGACCCTAACAGGGTAATAATCACCCAACACACAACTCAATACTAAACACTAACACGGCCCCAACAGGGTAAAGCTCGAGTGTGTGGTCCCAAAAGGATAATAAATTCACACTCGAGCTGACTGAGGCCAACGGCCCAGACCTAAAACACAACAACAAACAAACACACCAACACAAATAACAGAAATAACAAGAACAAAAGACAACACAAAAACAACAACACAAAGACCTCCCTAAGCAGAAACAATCAGAAAGAACAGCAGACAAATCCGATTCCAAGGAAAGCTTCGAAACTCCGATACCACGCCCGCCACTGCGAAGGGCCTAGCAAGACGATGACCCAAGACTCAAAAAACAAACCGAGAACCCGACACGCACTCCAACCGCAAAAAGCCCCGAAGCTCCCTTACCGCCTAACACCACTAGCCGATCCGACAGCCGCCCAAAGCATCCTAACATCACTATCCTAACACCACTAGCCTACTCTGGTGACCGTCGGCCTCCCCAAACTCAAAATAGAGAAAGGGAAAAAAGGAGACAACAGACTTCCCTGCCCAACCGCTCTGACCCAGCCCGAGAAACACACTTCCAATCAAAACCAGCCCACAAGAGAAGATCCGCCCCGCCATCCCCCCATAAGGAATCGACGGCCAGACCCCCGCTGAAGCCGGCAAGCCGCCCGCAGCAAACCTCCAAACTGGCCGAGAAAGGGCGCCCCAATCCAGCCGAATCAAGCGACACAGACATCCTCCACACGCGACAACAACCTGCCTTGCCCCGACACCCCAGAATTTCGGCAGCCTTCACGCGGAAAAATCCGCTGAAACCCTAGCCTTAATCCCGAGGTGGCAAAACAAAGGCCAAGAGCGACGCCACCATGGAGAAGCGGAGGAGGCAGTCCACTGACCTCACGGACGTTCGCTTAGGGAGCTAACCAAGCTCGAATTGATGGAGGCCGAGAGAGAGAGATTAGCGATTTAGGGGAAAAGGGGCGATTTAATTATAAATAATTTATTTTAATTGTAAAAAAATATATAAACTAGTATGAACATAATAAATCTAGGAGTGAGCATCTGTACGATTCAGAAATTGACAAACATCCAAAATCGTACCGAAATTCAGAGATTACTAAAATTTGATCTCTGAAACCGTACCAAAAATTCGGTTCGGTTCGGTTCGGAGATTTTTATTTATCAGTTCGGTTCAATATTCAGAACTATCGGAACGGTTTTGTTCTGTTCGAATCTCCCTTTAGTTTTAATTATTGTTATTATTTTTTCTGAATGACTACCTAGTTGTGTTTTATTTTTTTATGTTCATCAATAGTTCATCATATTAAAGATTTGATTTTGAAATCAACTTTAGAACTAACTCTAAATTATAGTTTGGACTAATTTGTGCAACTATCTTTAAAAATTTAATATTTAAATAAAATATAATAAAAAAAATCTTAATATTTCTTTAACCTTTCATACTATTTTAATTATAAAATAGAATAAGGTGAAGAAAGTATCGACAAATTGAAGTAAAGTTAAATATTTTAAAAAATATTTCTTTAACCTTTCATACCATTTTAAATATCTTTTTTTACAATAGAAAAAACTCAATTGTATATCAAGTATTATTAAGCATTAAATTTAAGTGAAACTTAATTGTTATTACTATATTTTATTTGCTTTTTAAAAATTCTCAAATTATATACCATCAAAATTGACATAAAATATATTAATAACACACAACTAATATGATTTAGTTCTTAATTTTGGTTCTTTAGTTCGGTACGGTATAGGACGGTTCGGTTCGGTTCTCGGTACAGATATTTGTGAAATATCCAGAACCGTATCAATTATTTTTTCGATTCGGTTTGGTTCGGTTTGGAGAAAGTCAAACAATGAACGATTATTTTTCGATTCAGAGTGATTTCGGTTCGGTTTTCGGAACGATTCGAAATTCTCCGAGTCCCATGCTCATATATAATTGTCAAACGCGTTGAGCCTAAGTGGCAGACTCGCACGCTTCGGAATCCTATGGGACAAAATTTCATGCTCCGTTGCTAGAATTGGAAATAAATTAATATTTTTTATAAAATAATAATTAGGCTTGGATTGCATAAAATATTTATATTATTCAACTAAATATGTGATTAATCAATTCCTTCTTTTCTTATACAAATATACCATAAACTATTTTAGGTTTTACATTACAATATATTACATTTCATTTTCTTATTTAATTCATACACCAATTATTGTTGTTTTCATCTTATTTTTAAATATTATAACTTATTCGTTTGTATATTTGTTTTTTTTATCTATGATATATCAGATTAATTATATTTTAACGATCTTCGTTTTGACATCCTTATTACACGTATATAAATTCATCAAACTAAATTAAAAAGTAAAAAAATAAAAAAAACTACAAAAGTATCTTATAAAGCAATAGAAATTGACTTATATTAACATATTATAAAGTACTTATTTTAATTGAAAAGAATATATATAAACTAAGTAAGAACATAATAAATAAAAAAAAAAATTTAAAATTTATGTCTCAACTTAAATAATGACTACAAGGAGACTAAACATTATAATGATATTAAAAGTAAAAAAATAATGTTGATTATATTAATAAAAATTATAAAAATAATTTTTATATTTTATAAAATTTAAAAATATTATACCCATACGCATTACATTTTAAATTATTGGATATTATAAAGTTTAAGATATTTAAAAATATAATAGATGAGGAAAGAAAATCGGGTATATAAAATATTAATCAAACTTGGAAAAAAATTAAATTCAAAATAAATTATTTAGTTGTAGATAGTATTAATATAAATATGTACGTACATCTATATGTGTGTGTGTGTGTGTGTTTGTATAATATTAAAAAAATATCTTTTTAAAATATAGGTATTATTTTAAATATTAAATTTTGTGATTTTTTTATTTATTGGTTTTATACTTAATTTTTATCATTATATTATAAGAATATAAATTTCTTTACTTATTTTTTTTTTATAAAAATATTTTAATTTTATTTTAATGCACATTCTTTTTTACGGACGGTATATTAACTCCATAATGAAATAATTATTCTATTTTATTTTGAAAAAACAATAATATCTTGAATAAAATATATAATATTTCATGCAAAATATTTTCTAAAACTTAAAATAATATTACAAATTCTTTTCTTTATCATTAATTACTTATAATTTTTATTTTACAATAAGAATTTTATATCTTTTCATTCTCTGTGCAAGCAAAGTTATTTTTTTCCCCTACTCACATGTAGTTCGCGCGTTGTAGTAGTCAACTTTAATTCACTATTCATTTACTCACATAATTTTAACTAACAATCATATCGGATTATATTTTCTCCCACTTTTGCATCAAATAACCTTTAATTTAATTATTATAAATATTATTTAAATTCAAACTAAAAATCCCATCAACTACTAATCATACCATTTCAAAATTAACCTTGGTTATATAAAAAAATATATATTTTAAGCCGATTAATCTGTAAACAAGCACGCTTCTTCTTTCATGTTTTTGTTTTTAGTTATTTATTTCTAAAATATATGGGGCAATATTTATTTGTCCGTATCAAATATTGAATTTTACTTGATACTAAAAGCTCTTTTCCCGCCCTATGTTAATTTGTTGGCAAAGTCACAGGTTTTTATGGTAGCGGTAGCACCAAGCGACGAGTGTGGATGATGAGTGAAAACAAGGATTTGGGCATCAACTTAGGCCTCTCGCTGGGCCCCACAAGCCATGGTGCGGGTGCTAGCATGACGCTGGCACTGCCCGCTCCTGTTTCCGAGCTCGTGTGGAAATGTGCCAAACCGATCACGGCAAACCGCTGGCCATTTCTCCCCTCGAGGGACAGCCCGGGCCCGGACAAGCCGATCATGGCAAACCGCTGGCCCTTTCTCCCCTCGAGCGACAGCCCATGCCCGGACAAGCTCAAGGGTATAGGCCGAGTTAATGATGCTGCCGAAAACAGCAAGAAGAATTATGGTACGTCGTGCTATTTTTTTCTTTTTTTTTTTAAGTTTAGTGGATTTTATCTAGTCGTAACTTGTAAGTACTTGTCTATTGAAAAAATGAAGGTAGTTTATGACATGACAAATGAATACTAGTGGGGTTTTACTCTATGCAGGTTAGGCAACCATGCTTTTTTAATCGATTTGCATATTTCCATACAAAAATGTCTTAACTCAAAAAAATAACATAAGCAAAAGTATGACATGTCCGAGCATAGGAATGTATTTCTGTAAAAGATGTATGACGGGCACATAACAGTTAGACTTTCTCACACAAGAATTTGTTCTACAATGCTATGATTTATTGTCGTTTGTTGTGTGCTCTTGCTTTCGGCCGAAAAGGAAAACAAATGTAAAATTATTCCTGAATTTGTAGGATTGTTGTATCATCCGTGAGAATTTTGAAGTTTTAGATGTTTTGATAGATTGATTGAGAAATCCTAGTCCCCCTATTTTTGATACTTGTGAGAAATCTAATGCTTTAAGTTCAAGTCGATGAAGGTTTGGCCGTCGAGGGTTATTTCAATAAACTTCCCGAGAGTGCTCAGAGCAATTATAATAGCCGATTTGAAACCAATGCTAGCAGAAAACAAGTCATGAGCATAGCTATTCCTTTGAGTCCCGAACCTCAAAAGCTCACCCAGCCGAATTCGAGTTCCCAACAAGAATCGGATGATGAAGTCAACTCGGCTCCTGGAAAAGCAATTGAGAATAAAATTGAAATTCCTATTCGTACCCCTGGGCCTGTTACTGCTCCAAATAAGGCATACAGTTCATGCCAAATGGGTCTTCTGTATGGAGAAAAAGGGAAAGGGAAAGTTAAAGCATTATCTGATGGATATGAGTGCAAAAGATCATCAAACGACAACCGAGAAAATGCGGAAAACCACAATAGTACCAGTTTTTGCTCGAGAGGCGTAAAGAGGTTGCGAAGTGAAGTTGGGAGGAGCAAGACGGCTAGAATGCGAATTGAAGAAAGCCATTGCATTTTGGGACATGGTAGCTCGTTCATGAACTGGGTATCGAACATGACGAAGGACAGCTCGGTTTGTAATAAAAAATTGGAGTTTTCATTAGACAACAATTTGTGTGAAAACGAAAAAGATAATAACTCGTGCAGGCAGATTATAGTGTCTGATAGACACAATAATTGTGCCCCTGAAAATACTAATCAGCCTGCTCCTGGTTTGTGGATCACTCGTCTTTATACGAAAAAGAAAGGTTTAGAAGAAGGTAGTCGTGATAAAAGGGATTGTGTTTCTGAGGCCCGAGACGATCCAGCTAAAAGAATTCAGAGATTTGCAAGTAAGGGACCTGATGATGGTTCGACAAGTTTGGAAACACTAATTATGTCGGTTTTTGCAAAGAGAATGGATTCTCTCAAGCACATTATGGACCCACCGGAAAAATTTTTAAAATATTCGATGTGCAAAGTAATTTGCTACTTTTGTGGTGAAAATGGACATGATTTGCGTAAATGCCCTGAGCTAGCCGAGGCCGAGCTCGAGGATCTCTTGACGAAAATCAGTTTAGTTGCTGGGGTCGAGAAAGAGTATCCGTGCTTGTGCATTTCATGCTTTGAGTTGGGTCATTGGGCGATTAAGTGCCCTGCCAGGGGTCAATTTCGGAATATTATTCCGTCAGATTCCAGTGGCAATCGAGTGACTGCAGAAAATGAAGTTGGTGAGACAGAGGTGTTTCGTGCTGTAAGGAAATTGCGCCTGTCACGCGCAGATATTATCAGGTTAAAAGGATCTACATAATTAATATTAAATAAAAAAAGCTCTTGGAATGATCCCTTGAGAAAAGATTAAATGATTTGTTTGAAGGAAATGTTTGGATTCTGATTTTAAATAAAGAATATTATCTGCTGTTACAAATGGTCTCAGATGGATGAATTCTGATGTCTCTTTATCGAGGTTAAACGGTTTCTTTCTCCGTTTGAGGCTCCAAAAATTGGAAGCTAAACTGGAGGGGTCCGGTTACTATGTTGCTCGAATAACAGGTATTAAATAGTGATGATCGGTATATATTGTTTGAGAAGAAATTGAAATTTATTTATTTAATGCTGCATGTAAATATATTTTTTTATTGTCATTATTTTGGCTGTCATGGATTAGCAGAGGATACAGAGGGGAATATAATTTGTTGCAGCTCGAAGAAGCCTATCTTGGTAGATGTTGGAGGGTTCAAATTACATGTCGAGATCCCATATGTGTCCAACCATGATTTTGTCGAGGTTAGTTTTGATGCTAAACAAAACTGCCAAGGAGCCGCTTTCAACATGCTTGTTTATGATATAATTGATTGATATTGGCCCTTTTTCATCTGCAGGATGAGATTATGGCATGGTGGGGCAGAATAAGGGAAGCCGGTGCCCAAATCCCATCATTAGCCGAGTTGGAAACAAAAGTCGAAGATAAGACGAGTCTAGGTTTTTAGTTACGTCCTGTTTTTTACTAGCAACACGTGTGTATAATCACTTGCTAACTGAAGCACTTAGTAAGAAGCACAGTATAGAATTTTTCTATTTCGTGAGACAATCTAGGAACTTGAAGTCAATTTGTTTCTTGTTATCGCTCAATATCATTGCTTAGTTCAAAGTAATAAGACATACTCCTCAAGTGTACATCATATATAGATACAGATTAGGGATGGTATGGTGCCTTCCTTGAGAAAGGACACTCATGTTGGCTATTTTGTTGAGGTAAGTAAACATTTGGATGTAAAGCCAGGGTGTGTAAACAGGGTTCACTATTTAGAAACCTTACAATATTACAGCAATGAGGTTTTCATTTTGGGATGATTCATTGGATTTTTTTTTTTTTTTTTTTTTCTCGGAACGATAGGATCTCAGGAAACACATTTACAACAAAGAGAACGAAGAGACCGGCTAGCAGAATCTGGCAGCCAAATGGTCAAAAGTCAAAACTAATGAGAGGGCAGGTCAAAGTGAAGTCTAGACTATCACAAACTCACCCATATTAATAATACTACTAACCTCCCACAAATGAAGAATGAAACTACTAGAAAGAAGACTATCACAAACTCACCCATATTAATAAGACTACTAAACCTCCCACAAATGAAGAATGAAACTACTAGAAAGAAGACTATCACAAACTCACCCATATTAATAAGACTACTAACCTCCCACAAATGAAGAATGAAACTACTAGAAAGAGAATAAACACCCTCACGGCCGTTCAAAAATTTGGAGGCCTTAGACAAGTTTGTCCTTTTAAAATTTGAACTTGCGTGATAATTAGGGCAATTTGTAGAATCATAGAAAAAAAAACTAATTAAAAAAACTATTAAATAAATAATTGAAAAAAAAATGTGTTTTTCTTGTTTTTCTAAACCTTGGAATTGATATATTAACTATGTGTTATAAAGATCTTTAATAAATTACAGTCAACCAGACAAAAAGGAGAAGAAAATAAAAATCATATCAATGTAAAGAATATTTATTCTCACACAATTGTTCTGACCGAACATCATAATAAAACAAAAAATAAAATAAAAATTAGGGCCTCAATTCCCACACAAAGTACATGTAGCGCCCCATTGTTCTGGAATTATTTGGCATTATTTATTTATTTTATTTCGTCCGAGATTATTTATTATGTGCTCGATTAGTATTTTATTTGATTATGTGATAATAATTGTCTAATTGTATTAGTAATAAATATATATACATATATATATATATATATATATATATATAATATGTATTTTATCGAGCCTAATTAAATATCTTTGTCGAACTGAACCGAGTATCGAGCCGAGTTGTGACTAATTAAAACGAGCGCGAAGCCAACACGCGCCCCACGGCCACCGCGGCCTGCGCCCGAGAAGCCGCTCGGCCCATCACCTCCCATGCATGCATGGCTTTCAAATTTTGAATTTTGAAATCAATTTGGTAACCACCCAACCCCATATTTTCAGCCCTCTCTCCTTTATGTGGGCATTGGTAAGCTAATAAAGTGGGAGGTTACATTTTAAAAAGTGAAGACCACCCTTCACTCGCCTCTCCCCATCTCTCTCGGTCTCTCTCTCCTCTCCCTCTCCTCACCAATTTTCAGAGGCTATTCCCTCCCTCCTCTATTCTCTTTTTGCCAGAAAAATTACCGGAGCATCGCCTTGCTTCGCCGCACGCATCGCCCGTCCCCGCGGCTAACACCACCGAGGCCACCACACAAGATGGCCGCCACCCGCAAGCACCAATCAACCGCGAGCACACCTTGGCCACCCCTCACACATTCGAAGCCATCTCCCGTGTTCGATGGACGCCTCATTTGACGTGCGAGCCGCCTTCAACGTCGATCACGCACGCGGACGATTTTTCCGCCCGTAAGATCCAGCTGAGCCACGACCGCACCTCGTTCGTCATCCCCTTTTGGTGTTTGGTAATAATTTACTAAACTCCAATATTTCTAGGTGATTATATGTTTAAATTGTTGAATATATTATATTCATGAATTATTTGAGTGTACATGTTAATATGTGTTGTACTTTGAGAGTAAGATTTAAATCATAGGGTTTATATATGAAACCCTTAGCATCTAAATTAAACTCGTGGTTATCTCTTGGATTATGGAATATTTTGTGTCCTGATCAGAATGGTTTCGACTTTGTGCATTTTGGACTTAGATTTTTCAAGTTATGGATTTATGAAGTTGATGTGTTTTCTGAAATTTGTAAAATACATGATAAATCTTGTAGTTGTCTAAAAATTCTGAATTTTGGATATGTTACTCCCCTGTTATTTATCGATTTCATGTTAAATTTTCATAATTTTTGGAGTTAAATACATAGAGTAAATAATTATTTGTTCGAAACTGAAGAAACTTGATAAAATCATATAAAATCGAGATCTTGATATAAATGCGTGAAACTCGGTCATTATCCTTATTTAATATGATTCGTGATGTGGTGAAAATCCCAGTAATTGTTGAATTCGGTTTGTTAAATTATTGTTCAAAACGTGTTTCGGCTGAAACTTGTAACAATTTTCATAATTCACATGTTTATTTTGTATACTTAAAATTTTTATATGTTGTTCCCAGCAAATTTTAGTTACTTGTGTAAAATTTCTATGTCCTGAATCATCCCTTTGATCAGTCAATAAATTCATGCATGTTTTTGCTGCAAAATTGTATTAATTTTGTAAACTTACATGTTTAAGCTTTGGAGCTGAAACTTGGTATTTTTTCTATGTTTAGTATGTTCTATTATGTGTTCAAATCTATATATATATAATTACTAACTCTTCTACATTTAAGAAAACCTCATAAATTATACCTAGGTGGCTCTTTTATATTTTTCCTCCAAAAACCATTACTTTTCATTTATTTAACCTAATTAATAGATAATCAATACACTAATCAATTTAAAATACAAAAATCATTTTGAACTTTTGATGACTAACAGTTAACCATATAATGTGTTACCGTATAATGTGATTAGATATTATTATTGTGGTTACATGTAAATTATTTTTTTTGGAAAATAGAAAAAGTATATGAAAGTCCTAAATAAATTATAAATAATTTTTAAAAAAAATACATACCAAAATATACGTTACATCCAATATAATAAACACAATTTAAAAAAAATCAACTCCTTTAATTGTAATTTTGGCTGCAAAAACGTGAAATAAAAATAATTAATCATTATATGCATGCAAATAACTCACAGTATTTTATTTACATTTGTGCAAATGCACAGGTAGAATACTAGTTTTAGATTAAAATTCTTTCATTTGCCTAGTCATCTTGTAAATGTGCCTTACTTCTCGAATTTTGCAATAATCTTGTTCATTTTGTTTAAAGGGTAAATAATTTTATGCAACCTGTACTATGCGTGAATTTGGATTTTGCAACCTAAAAAATATTTTGTACTATATTGCAACATTTAATACACGACTTTGCTTGTATCGCAACCTCCGGTCATTTTCCACCGGAAAAGCGAGCGTGCGAATCGCACACTCGCAATTTGAGGGTAAATTTGGCATTTTTTAGTGTGCGACCATCGAACTCCCCCAAATATCACACAAATTGTGAATTCACCACCATAATACTACAATATTCAATTAAAGAAACATATTAATTTAAGGAGATCTAGGGTTTATTGTATTCGCCCAAATTTTGGAATTAGGGTTCACTGAATTTCCCCAAATTCAAAAATTAGGTGGTTTAATCCACAAAAAATATACACAACCATCATCATCCTACAACATTCAGTGAAAGAAACATAAAAATTTAAGAAGATCTAGGGTTTATTGAATTCGCCCAAATTTTGGAATTAGGGTTCACTGAGTTTCCCCAAATTCAAAAATGAAGGTTAATCTAATTAATCCCTTACCCGATTTTTTGTGCAAGTAATGTATCTTCTTCCTGGATATTGAACACTCCATGATGTTTTCGTCACAACATTCATCCCACAATTGCATACTTGACACATCGCCTTCGTTTGCCTCCAAGCCATTTTCGCAGGTGAAGAACAAAAATGAAGAACAGGCCGCGCGTTTTTTTTTTTTTCATAAATCTGTTGAGATGCGAATGACAAAGTTGTCCTTCAAATTTAATGCAAAAAGTCAGATTTACCCTCAAATTTGGAGCGTGTGACTCACACGCTCGCTTTTCCGGTGGAAAACGAGTCACCGATGGACGGAGGTTGCGATACAGGCAAAGTCGTGTATTAAAGGTTACAATATATTACAAAATATTCTTTAGGTTTCAAAATCAAAATTCGTGTATAGTACAGGTTGCATAAAATTATTTACCCTTGTATAAATGTGAAATTTGGTATAACATTTCTTATATGATGTTCTCTGATGGTGATTTATATGTACTTGTCATTTGGAGTCGTACCTTTGGGTGGTTTTATAGTAGCCCGATTATTACCTGGTTCTCGGACGTTTTCCCGAACCGTTGACCCCCTTTGACTTTGATACTTGGTCAACCCCTATTTGAATTTTATGTGTCTTCTCATAATTGGTTCCTAGTCGAGTCAAATGTTCCATAACTCCATGAGACTTTTCACGAGCCACTTAGTTGAAATGTTTCAACTAAGTTTATGCGTTCGTTGGATTAATAGTAATCAAGAGGCTATCTTGATTTCGTGTAGGTGTTTTGAAGGTTGACCTCACCACTTATCCGAGCCTCGTCTTTGTGTTATTCGCTGCTTCTAGGTGGGTGTATTTATGATGTATCTGCAATTATCGCATTTCGTTATTTCGTATAAATGTTCGTTTCGATAACTTAAGTATGCCTGAGAACCCTAGTCTAGTGTGTTACACTGCCAGGGGCGTCTCGCCTTTAGTGCCTTTGATGAATGCATAATCAGTAAAGATCACCTGCCCGTTGTATCCGGGAGGTGGACGCCCGAATTCGTGTAGAGCGGAGGGGAAAAACTGGACGCCGAATCCATGTAGAGCG